TTTTCAGTCATCAAATACGTCAACAAACAGCAATGTACTCGGATGCTCTTTGTCCTAAGTTTAGTAAAACGGCCAGAGGTGAATACTCTGATGCTAACCCAGAGATAACCATCAGCTCTGTTAAATAAAGCTCATTGAACCCATAGATGCATCTATGCTGACTCTAAGATGAAAAGAGCTTTCATTGCCTCTGGGCTTTTAGAGCTACGTTCAGGTCATCTTAAATCTTTTATTTCTAGACAAAAAATCTAGAAGAAAATCCTCGGAGTCATTCTCATTTGAAGCCATCAACATAGATTCTTTTAGATTTTTAGATATTTATATCTATTTTTGGTGTCTAGCAAGCCTTAGCTCTGATCTCCATCTGTAATGACTGGCATATGTCTCTATTATTAATAGTGGAGAGGAGCTGTGGGAATGAATGCCTCCCTTCATATGTTCCACGCCAACATGTCTGTTGAGCAGTCTGCAGCGGCTTTGTTTACCAGATTGGAGAGAGCCCTCATACACTTCATTATGAGCTTGTGTCTGGACCCAGACCTAAGCACCCATTCATTCTTCTGGATGTGCTTTCCTGCTAATAGCAGCTGTATATTCATGCGTGTCTGTCAGGATCAGCAGAATGCTGCTTCTCCTTTTTTTTATTTTGATTTTTTTTTGGATCCAATATAGTTGTCATCTCTTGCAGCTGTGTCCACATTAAAGAACATATTCCAAGGCTATCAAAGCATTGTGAAGCCTGCAAGCTGCCTGAGAGGATCTGCGCCTGTGGAGGAAAGAGAAAATATGTTTTGAGCCCTAAAATATGGATTGTGGCAGGTGTCCATTCATCAAATCTGTCTCCAGCCACACCCCTTTTTCCTCTAAGTAAAAAAGAAAAATATCCCGACCATGCCCCTGTAATAGGCACCCCTCCCCCTCTTCCCTCTGTCTTCTGCTTGTCTGCTCATTGGCAGTAGGGCGAATAGTGTCCCCACAGGCTGCGGGGGGGAGGCTGTACATCTAGATGCGCATGTCTTTGTACATATTGGCCCATAAAGGCAGAGCGCCTGCTTCACATGCTCACTACGGCATCCGAGGAAGCATGCATGGAGCAAAGCCCACTGGCCCAGTTTTCTACGTAAGCAACGGGAGAACGTCATGCTGAACACAGCGCTCCGCTGGCCATCCTCCTCCTCCCACTTCTCCTCCTCTACGGTGGTAATCCTTGCTGACACCACGCACAAAGGACTAAATGCTGGATGCTTCCTTCAGCAGGCAGGCTCTGTCTCTTCTTCTTCTTCTTCCAGCTCTAATCCCGTACTGCTAACCCGTCTGGCTGTGTGTTCGGATGTTGTTTAAATGGGACTTGCATCTGTATCACATCCCTGGAATCCTGGCCTGCTATTCTAATCCTCCGCCCCCCTCCTTCATATCTCCTCCTCCTCCTTGATCGGTTCATTCAGGGAGAGCATCACAACAAGGCTATCACCTTAAGAGGCTTTTCTCTTTCTAAATTTATTTTTTTTTTTTGTCGCTCTTGGAGTTGATGGGACTACAGGTGGCTAACATTTTTCTCTACACCTGATGGGTTTATGTCGCTGAACATCAGGTCTTCCTCTTCGCATCCTGTTGTTGTCGGTTTTCTCTGCTTCACATCTGTATGCCAACAGGTAAACCAGCCAAACAAACACATGCTTTATTTATCAGGTGATGCTGTTGGAGTCTGTTTATGTAAAGCAGCTGTTTTCTGTGTGGTGATTTTTTATTTTTATTAAATTTTTTATTATCTATCTTTTCTTAAGAAATGTGACTTTAACAGAGGGATTAACAGCAGTAATAAGTCCTTGAGAAAGGACTTGTTAGTTTATTGCCTGTTAGTAAATGTCAGAGACGTCTGCAGGTAGGAGGATGATGAGGAGCGAAGGAAGCATGTGTGCAGCTGGTGGCGGTCCATGGCCGTGAGGCTACACATGTCGGTGCGGTTTGTAGTAAAACTAGACGATGTGCTAAGTAAGCAGTTTGCTGTTTGCGTTGTGTCACCATTTGTGTAACAGAGCCGTGCTGATTAAATGGGGTGGGGGGTAAAGCCTGTTTAGTCCCAGTCTGTACCTGATGGCACTGCATCGAAGTGGTCGGTACATGATGTCAGAGTGGGCCCTGCAGTTTGGTGTTTCGCTGCGTGAGTTCTGACCCCGTCAGGAGGATTTAGATCACTTGAACATTTTTTGTTTTCTGCTGCAAGAAGTAATTTTAGTGAATTTCATTAGGATTTTTTCAGGTGACAGACCAACTCAAAGCACTGTGTAATAATCGGCTGTTAATGCACAGATGGTTTTGATCCAATTTTACCGATTAAAACTTTTAAACCTACTTTTAAAATTATTGAATTAAATGACCCCCAAAATAAAATCCGCTGTTGTCTTTTAAATCCTGTGATTATTAAACTAGAGTCCATCCGACTGCATTTAGATCTTAGTATAAATCCAGCTGTGAGGCCTCAGGGGTTTGTCTGCGAACAAGCAGCAAGACCCAGCAGGGACAAAGATGTAGAGACGTTTAAATCTGGAGGAGCTGCAGAAATCCTCAGCTCATGTGGAACAATCTGTTGACAGGTAACTTTACAAATATGGCCCATGGAAAAGTTTACCAGTATGGAAAATTTAAGTGACAAGACCATTCAAACCACTGGATGAATAAAAGATATGAAAGAAAAAAACCCCAGAAAGAATCCTGAACTTTCTGTTTTTTTTTATTTTTCTTCAGTTGATGGTTTCAGTAGCAAGGTCAAATGGAGCTATGAACAACTAGGATTTTAACTTTAATTTAAAATAATTAAATGTTTCTGAGAGTTTATTCCAGATTAGTACAGCATTAGAACAAAAAGCTGCTTCTCCATGTTTGGTTCTGGTTCTTTATAAACTGAGTAGACTTGATCCAGAAGATCTGAGTGGTCTGGTAGGTTAATGCACTGACAGCAAGTCTGTCATTCAGTGATTTATAGACTAAAGAAGGTATTAAAGGTCTATTCTCTGAGGTATGGGGAGCCAGTGGAAGGGCTTTAGAATCAGGGTCATGCACACTATTTTCTTAGTTTTAGTGAGGACACAAGCAGCAGCATTTTAGATTGACTGTACACTGGAAAAACGATCTAAAAATAAGTAAAACATTCTTAAATTAAGTGCATTTACCCATAATTTGAGCTGGTAAATGAGATAATTTGCCATAGGGATTAGTATTTTTACTCTTAAAAAAAGGTATTTAGATAATATGCACAATGAAATAAGACAATGCAAATGTGTTTTCTTATTTTAAATGTAAATAGTCTTGTTCCATTGGCAAGATGTATCTTTTACCTCCTCAATATAAGAACGAATGCACTCATTTTAAGAAAAACATGACTATCTACATTTCGATTTTTTTTCCAGTGCAGCTGTCTGATCGATGTTAAGACACACCTGCAAAGAAGCTATTGCTGTAATCAGTTCTTCTAAATCACAAATTGCTTTTTCAAGATCTAGTTGAGACATTAGCCCTTTAATCCTGGAGACGTTCTCGTTCTTCATATAAGTGGATTTTGTTCCTGCCTTTATGTGCTTCTGAAGTTCAGGTCAGATACCATCACGGCAGGGCGATTTCAGGCCTGATCAGTGGCTTCTAACTGAAGCTAACCGATACTGTGTGCTAACTTTTAAATACTCTTTCTTTGGTTCAACAATTATTACTTCAGTTTTGTTTTGAATCATCTTTTTAAAATCTTGGCACATCCATGCCTTGATTTCTTCCATGCATTCACCCAGCACTGGAATGGGTTCATTCATATTCACCTGCTGAGATTTGAAACCTAAAGCTGTGCATCATCTGCATGAAGGTAACTTATGTTGGTGGTGCTTTTCTTTAACAGGGACAAGGAATCGTTCTTTGAGCTAATCCTGATCCAGAGTAAAATTTAGAAATTTTAACATTAGGGAAGAAGAATCCCACAAATGATGATTAAAGCTAAATCTTTTTCATCTTCCTTTTAAGACATAAATCACTTTAAGAATCAGTAATGAGGCTTTACGTCTTTACGACAATGAAATTGAATCATTACTTCATCATGGCGGCTTATTATTTTCCACCATTTCTACAGACGGAAAACCACAAACCCAGATGCAGCAAATAGCAGCAAGCTGCTCCAGTCTGAGCCGTAACAAAATCTGTGGCAGGCAATAAAGGTCAGAATGCTTCAAAGGAAACTAATTAACTCACTTTTTTAACAGGGTAATAGTTGGTGTACAGGTTCCCCACCTTACCCAGCGAGCACGGCTGTTTTTGTTGTTCTCCCCTCATAAGGCATCAGGCCTGTCCAGTTTTTGTGCAACAAACTGAAGACAAATGCTCTTGCCTCAACCTGCACAATTTATCACACCAATCTCTGCTATGTGATCCCAAACTTGTGCAAGTAGGTTTGGGTTACTGAAATCACAGCGCGTTTAGGGTAGAGGGGATAAAAGCTGAAAATGTTTGGTCCCTTTTCCAAAACGTGACCAATTTGGTTTCTCATCGTTTTTGATTTGTTATCTTGCATAAATGGAAACGTTAATGTGGAAGCAGCAGCATGTGGCTCAGCATTGACTTTTTAAAGGATGTTTTTATGCGTAGTCGAAGCTCAGGCAGACTGTCTGGAAAGCTTGATGAAGTTATTTAAAGCAGAGCCATCCAGTGATTAGCAATCAAACGAAAAATGATCAAAGTTCTCCCCAACTTACTCAACAATGCTCGTCATTACACGCAGTAATGTATTTACCTCCACCACAGTCCTCTCATAGGATTAGTCTCCTCCTATGTTTGCTCAGCCAGGCTTCATGTTGCTTTTCTGTCTCACCTAGATAAGGTACCCCACTTGTACACTCCCTGAGTAACATCTGTCAGACAAATAATAAATAGAATAAACCACCTGAATGGAAAACGGTTTGTTCAAAAGCATGGATCAAAGTTCACAGCTAACCAAATACTAAGATGGTGCCACAGAGGGTTCAGTCCCCTGTTTGGTTTGGGCCACTGCTTCACAGAGCTGCTGATTTCAGATGGTTGCTGAAGCCGATAGACGCGGCGATATTAGCAGAGCTAAGCTTGTGGGGAAACAAAGCGAGACAAAACTTTTGCCATGTTCAAAAGTGGAATGAAGATCATGGGGAGTGAGTATGATAATATGTGATAATGGCTTAATCAAGTCAAATTTCTATGATGTATTTTTTGGTGATCCGTAGATTTCTCTGGGAGTTTTAGTTTAAGACTCTTGGGATTTAGAAGTCATGTTACATACAAGCCATGGTTATTTGAAAACATCTGTGTAATATAATGGCATTTGTTTGATGGTTGCTCAATTACATGTTATTGTGTTCATTAGTACACCTAACGCCTGTCTGGTGGATACAGGTGCACTGGGAATGCAGAGATTAGATTGATTTAATGTTATTAACTTAAGAGTTTTTTGCAGGCTTGCCCCCATGGCAGAGAAATGTTAGTCTTCGTATCATTTACCATATTGATTTTTTCCCTTCTGTTACCAGATTGTTCTACAGGTGCCCATTTCAGCAGCTTTTTTCTCATTTCTCTTCTAAATCTCTACCCACAGTCAGCTCTTATTGCTTCATACAGGATTTTTTTGTGATTAAAAAGTACAAATTTGTCAAGTAGCAATTTTATTGCTGTAATTTAATGCTGAAACATCTCAGAACATCAAACCTATTTTAAATGAAAGCAAGATAGCATTTCTTTCATGACTGGAATGAGTTTTTAATGGATTTTGGCCATATGTGAAAATGAAGGTAGACGAATTCTTTAGTGGCATCTGGCTTCAGGTGTTACAAAAACTAGCAGTAATTTGTTACTATTTAAGATTGCTTTGGAAATGATTTAAATGTTTCTTTTTTCGGAGGGTTTCTGTGAGGGAATGCTAATAAAAGGCCACGTCACAGCAGCTCAGTTGGATCAAAGTCCTTTATGTCGGTTGTTTTTTAGCTGTTAAAAAAAATTGTCTTAGTAGTGTGATTTGGATTGTCATCCTGCTGCGTTGATCATGTGATCTTGAGTACCAAATAATAGCGGGACATCCTTCATGGTTTTCTATAGTGAGCAAAATTCATGTCTGTATGAGTTCCTGCCAGTCGTCCAGCACCTGAAGTAAGCAGCAGCCCCAATGCTGGAGTACCTGGAACTAATATTGATAGTTACTGTTAATACATTATCTAAGGAGGGAAGTCAGGTTTCAAATGGGGAAAAGGTTGGTTTGTGTAACTCTGTTTGACTAAATAAGCTATTCATTAAAAAAAATGTTCATTTGATTAAAAAAAAAGAAGTTGACTGATGATCTGAAATGTTTTTTATAAAAGAAATCTGAAGGGCTTTATATTTCTATTGGCATACAAATATGTTTTTCTTTATTACCCTGTTAAAGTCTGTTTCATCCCTTTTTTAGGGCTACTATTCTTTTATTATATATTTTTATATTATTAACAGTATTATTAGAGCTTTCAATAATTAATTTGCTTATTTTTTATTCTAAAGTATTGCAGCGGTTGAGCAGTCGATAATTTCTGTCTGCCTTCACGGATTCAACTCTGTTGTTTCGGCAATGTTGGTATCCCACTGCAAAGCTTCATCTGATAGTGCTCAACACGCCAGTACATCCTTTTGATTTTACATTACATAACTTTTTATAACATTTTAAACAATGTACCGATCAGGTTTATACTACAAAACTGTTTCTTTTGTAAAACCAAAGTCCATCAAAAAGAAATGGCTTTACATTTTTTCACATCAGACCTAAAATAAACATGTATTTTTATTGGGCTTTTTATAAAGTAGATCATCATTCAATTATGCAACGAGCAATTATCAAACCGTTGTTAAAAAAGAGCCACTTAGACAAGTTCCTACTTCCGAATTATTGGCCAAACTCAAACATCTTCATCTGTAAGATTCATGAAAAAGTTGATTTTTTAGCAGCTGAACAACTTGCTAACAATGACCATCAGTCAGGTTCTTGTACTCACCAAAGCAGAGAAACTGCTCTTGTGTTGAAGGTGTGGAAGAACCATAGTGTTGGTATTATTGGGCCTTAATGATGCATTGGAAACTGTTAATCACTTCTTCTATTAGAGCATCTGAAAAACTCTGTTGGCCCTCCTGGTATAGCACTGGACTGGTTTAAAACTAAAAGATGGGGACTTTTTTAGATCAGTAGGTAACTTTACATCAGAGACGAAAAAAATCAAATGCAGTGTTTCCCAAGGGTTCATCTCAGTGTCCCTTTTGTTAATTATTCAGATGCTTCCCCTACCTTGAATCTTAACAAACAACATAAGATTACACTTTGAATAGAATAGACCTTTTATTGTCATTACTTTGTCACAAGTACAAAGCAACAAAATTCACTCTGCATTTAACCCATTTCATTGGGGGAGCAGTTGGCTGCCATAGTGCGGTGGAGCAGTGTGGGGTTAAGGGTCTTGCTCAGGGACCCAGAGCTGCAGTCCATGGGAGTGGGGCTTAACCTCAGAACCTCTGGAGTCCAAGCACAATGCCCAAACCACTATGCCACCATCACCCCACCCCACCCCTGAGTAAATGCATAGAAGAAAATCAACATATGCATGAGGCAACATTTTTCTTTAGCTAAATCAAGACAAGACTGAAATTGTGTTTTTTGGACGTAAAGAAGAGCGTTCAAAAGTTAGCACACAGCTAGACAGAAAGGTTGCACACAGCTAGTTATTCCGGCTAGAAACCACCAATCAGGCTCTAACTCTGGGTGTAGTGATCGACTCAGACCATAACAAAGTCGGAATTCTATCACCTAAACAACATCTCCAGGATTAATGGACTAATATGTCAGCAGGACCTGGTATAACCAAGGCTACATTCACAGTGCAGGCCTTGATACTCAATTCCGATTTTTTTTGCGTTGCCGTTCACATTTCCAAATATATGCGCCTTGTATGTGATCTCCTTTGTAAACTGCATTCGTACACCTTAAGTGTCCCACATGCCCAGTAGAGGACGGAATGACCTCACTAGCCAGCGTGCTGCTTGTTTATGGAAGTAAACATGGGTGTAATGCTGGAGCGATTCTAGCGATCTTTCCAAGCCTAAAAACCTCAATCTTTTCAAGATGGTTTAAAAATATACTGCTGTCCGCATCATTGCCTGCCATGGTGTTTGTTTTTGTTGCTGCTTCTGCGTAGCAAGAAGCAGAATAGTGACCTATATTGGATATTAATTGCGTTCAGGTCGGATGAATGCAACCTGCCTATTCAGACACGGGTCGCGTTTGAAAAGATCAGATTCGTATCGGATTCAAGACCACAGAGCCAAGTGGTCTGGGTCGCATTGGAAAGAATCGGATCTGTGTTGTTCAGACTGCCATGAAAAGATTGGATCCAGGTCTTATGTGGGCAAAAATTCCGCTCAAACCTCTCAGGTCTCCTGGGTCAAATCTACTCTGTATGTATCGAACCAGAACCAAACAAAGAGAAGAACACTTTAGTTTTTAAAAATTAAAATTGCTGCATTCCTAAAGTTTCTTTCAATCGAGATTAAAAACATACTGTAAAAATTCAAAAAATATCCACTGGACTTGGTTTTCAAGATTTGAAGACGTTTCGCCACCTCTCCAGGAAGCTTTCTCAATTCAAATGTCTGGATCCGCAGTGAGTTTGAGTCTTATATAGACAACGCCTTGTATCGCTTGGAAACATGCAATGGAAACCGATGAATGGGTCGTTAGTTCCATCGTTAGCCTGTAATATCTGAACCTGTCTGTGATTCTGGGGGGTCGGTCGTTAAAGGGGGGATTGTCATTAAGGGGGGGATTGTCTCCTGTAATACCTGTAATACGACCCATTCATCGGTTTCCATTGCATGTTTCCAAGCGATACAAGGCGTTGTCTATATAAGACTCAAACTCACTGCGGATCCAGACATTTGAATTGAGAAAGCTTCCTGGAGAGGTGGCGAAATGTCTTCAAATCTTGAAAACCAAGTCCAGTGGATATTTTTTGAATTTTTACGGAATGACTATGACCTGGATGACTGAGAACCTTCATCAGCGATTAAAAACAAAGTTTTTTTTAGAGTAAACTTTGACTTTGCCTTTTTAACTTTAATAAAAGCATTCAGTCTGTTGTTTTATGATTATTTTAATCCTTTATTCTTATTCTCTTTAATTGTTTGTGTTGCTTTTGTACCCCTGGGCTGTACTTTCCTTTTTCTTCTCATTCATAGCACGTTGAATTGTCTTAAAACAGAAATTTGATGCGTAAATAAACCTTCCTTGCCTCACAGGTGTTATGTCATTGTCAACATTTTAAGTTGACGTGTATTTTATTCAAAGCATGGTGCAGTCAATGAAATTTTCAGTTCCAGCATTAGTAATTTCCAGCATCAGGAAGCTTAGTTTTATAGGAAGTGGGACATTCCTGCGGAGCTTCTTCTGTTTTTTGTTTTGTTTTTAAATCATTAACAGCCAATGTGCTGATGCTCCCTGTGCCAGCTGTGAACGGAAGCACGTTACACTATTTAGAGGAAGAAAATGTTAGTTTCTGCAGCTTATCTTCTACCTCTGATTTAAACCTCTGTTTATATTTATCTTTATAATGATGGATTTGCATTATAACTAAAAGTCTGTATAAATTTTTTTTTTTTTTGCGAAGGCGGTAGACGTTGGCCTGGCTGACCGGCCCTCGGCAGTGTGTGTGTGACGGAAGCCAGCCCATCTGTTATTGCAGGCAGAGAGCTGTGATCCCGTATGCACTAGCCCTCTGTTGCAGATTGGCAGTGACATTTCATCAGCACAGGTGGCCTAGTCATGACACGCACATGAGAAATCAAAGTCAAGAAATGCACGGTGGAGGGCTGACCTCTGGATCAAGTAACCAGCTGCTGCAGCTTCACCTGTTGGGACAAAATACAGTTAAAAAAAAACAGTTATATATTACATTTAGATTGCCAGATATTCTTTTTAACAATCTGCACATACTTTCATAAATTCCTTAAGTTGACTTTCAAAAAAGAAATTATATGAATTTGTTCAAATGTTTCAGCTGTACATGAGACCCTCAGTGTCATAGTGAGAAAATAATGGCATCTGATGAACTTAAACCACACCAATATGGCCATCTGATTTAACATTTAA